GGGAAAGAACCCAGGTGTCTGAGCTCCCTGCTCCAACCTCCCAGCCCTCCTCAAGGGCAGAGATAGAACCCAGGTGTCTGGGCTCCCCACCCCACCCCCTGCAGTGAGGCTGGAGCCATAGTGATCTCCCTACCCCTCCATATTGTGAGGGGCCCTTACTGGGAACTGGGGGGTCCTGGGCCCTACTGACCACCCTCTGTCCCCCCCGTTCAGAACAAGGAGAAGCTGGAGCGGCTGCGGACGGCGGCAGAGCAGTTCTGCAGCCGCCTGGGCCGGTACCGCATGCCCTTTGCATGGACAGCTGTACACCTGCGCAATGTCCTCAGCAGCGCCAGTGCTCCCGAGCGTGACCCCCCGGACCCTGATACTGGTGTGTGGGCAGGTGGCTAGGGTGGGGAGTGTTGGAGCTCCCATGATAAGCAGGGCCATGCCCATGCAGGTTGTGGATGGGAGACCAAGTGCCAGGGGGGCCTTGGATGGGGGTGCTGACTGGGGTGAGTGAATGTTGTGCTTGCAAAGCTAAGCAGGGTCAGGCTGCATTGGGCCTGGGTGGGAGACTCTTGAGGGCCAGACTTTAGGGGAGTCCTTGGATGGGGGTACTAAGTATGGTGGGCAGGGTTGAGCATGTACAGGACACAGATGGGAGGCCAAGGGGGAGGGGAGGGGGGCCTGGCCCGGCCCGGCCCCTGCCCTGGGGCTGAAGTCTTGGGCTTGGTTCCCCGGGCAGGTCGTAAAGGCACCTGGAAGCGGCGGACACTGGATCGCCTGAGCGTGGGGGATGAGGCCTGTGGTTTTGGCAACTTCCGCCCGGCTACACTCACCATCACCAACTTCTTCAAGCAGGTCAGGGGTGGGTGGCAGGGCCAGGATTTTGTGGGAGTGGCACAGCATAGCCTGGGGTCAAGGTCCCTGCTTGGCTGTAGCCAGATTTGCATGGGGTGGGGCTTCAGCTTGATTGGCAGGCAGAAGATTTGCCTGGCTGCACTATGTAGAGGTATAGCTGTGGGTGGGGTGGGGCTAAGTCCCTGTGGAGGTGGGGCTTGTGGCAGGTGATGCTGTTGCAGAAAGGGCTTCTCTTCCTGGTGGGGGTTGAGCGCCTGGGGCTGCCTGGGAGGCAGGGCTCTTCAGGAAGCACATGCTTCAGGGGGAGGGGCAGGGCTTTGAAAGGGGCAGGGCTTGTGGTGGGCAGGGCCTTGCTGTGAGGCCTTCCCCACACCTGTCTCTACAGGAGGGTGACCGCCTAAGCGATGAGGACCTGTACAAGTTTTTGGCTGACATGCGGCGCCCATCATCTCTGCTGCGGCGGCTCCGTCCCATCACAGGTGCTGGGAGGGGCAGGGACCCATGGGGGCAATGGGAGGGAGGGGAGGGGAGAAGGGGCCCTGCAGGGGGCATGAGGGATCATCATGGTCTTGACCAAAGGGCTGTAAAGTAGGCATAAGGCCCTGCCCTGGGGCTGCTAAACCCAGAGCACTCCTCAGGCTGCCCTAACCACCTTATATAAGGGTCTTGTATAAGGCTGGGGGTGGGAGGTGCATGGGACATACTTCCAGGAGTATGCATGACTTTGGTCCTCTCCCTGACCCCCAGCCTCCAAATCCTTGTGCCTCTGGCTTCCCATCAGCCCTTGGGGCCACCCTGATACTCACCCCCTTACCCCGGTTCTGCTCCCCCAGCTCTGCTGAAGATTGACATCTCTCCGGCACCCGAGAGCCCCCACTACTGCCTGTCACCGGAACTGCTGCATGTGCGGCCCTACCCTGACCCCCGCGTGCGGCCCACCAAGGAGATCCTGGAGTTCCCTGCCCGTGAGGTCTTTGCCCCCTACACCATGTACAGGTATTAGGGGTGGGGGTGTAGGGGAGTAGTGGGGAATGGTGCTGTCTGCTGCAGGCTGGTGGAAGCTGCAGCTGCTCCTGGATTTTTTTTTTGTGGGGGGGAACTGAGGGATAGAAATAGGAAGCCTCCCCCCCCCCACGCACACACACTGCAGAGCCTTTTATAAGGGAAGGGGGTGTGGACACCAGCCTTCTGGATGCTGTACCTCGCCCAGAGCTGGTCATGGAAGCCAGATGTCAAGCCCCGCCATCCTCCCTAACACATAGATGCACCTTCCTTATACACGCTGATTTTTCCCCCCTCCCATGCTGGGGGTAGAACACAGGAGTCTGGTTCCACAGCTGGGTCTGGGACCCCAGAGTCCAGGCCCCCTGCTCCCTTGATACACTTTTCTAGCACTCACTGATTCCCACCTCCTGTGCCAGGGGTGGAACCCAGGAGTCCAGGCCCACTTCTCCCCATTAACCCATCACTGTCTTGTCCTGCAGGAACTTGCTCTTCATCTACCCCCAGAGCCTGAACTTCAGCTCGCGCCAGGGCTCCATGCGCAACATTGCCATCAAGGTGCAGCTCATGGCTGGTGAGGACCCCAGCCAGGCCCTGCCAGTGAGTGCCCCCTGTCTGTCCCCTGGAACAGGGGCGGACCCAGCAGCCGGGATAATCTCCCCCCAGCCATAGAACAGAATTAGTAACCCATGCTTCCTGGCCTCTGCGTCCATCCAGTGCCAACCTGTGCCTGTCTCTCTGTCTGTCCCTCTTCTCTGCTACCCCAGGTGATTTTTGGGAAGTCAAGCTCCAGTGAGTTTACACAGGAGGCCTACACAGCTGTGGTCTATCACAACAAGTGGGTGTCCAGGCCAGGGAAGGGGATACGGAGGGCAGGCATAAGGGTGGGCAGAGCCCTGATTGGAGTGGGTGAATATCGCAATCTGCTTTTGTGGGAAGTTATGGCTGGAGGAGGAGGGCAGGGACCTGCTGGGTGGGAACCTTGGAGGATATTTTGGTGACTATGGTCATTAATGGGGGGTGGGGGGGCAAGCTAGGATATGGGGTGGGGGGTTTCTGGAGAATGTGGTATTTGTGTGTGTGGGGGGGGGTTCTGGCTGGAGGTGCAGCGGTTATTGCTGGATGGAAACCCAGGTGAATACAGTCACATAGTCATTTGTGTTGGGGGTGGGTGCCAAACTGGGATTGATAGTTGAGATAATTTGGTCAAGGTAATTTAGTGGGGAGGGAGGGCATGAAACCAGGTTTGGCAGTAGAAGTATTCTGGTAAATACAGTATAGAGCGCGCGCGCGTGTGTGTGTGTGTGTGTGTGTGTGTGTGTGTGTGTGTGCGCGCGCGCACGCGCCAAACTGGGATTGGCAGTGGGGATATTCTGGTGAATATGGTAGTGTGCCCTGGAAGCAGGGTGGATTGCTGGGTGAGAACCTGGGTAAATATGGTAATTTGTGCAGGGAGGGGATGTGCCAGGCTGGGATTTGAAGTTGGAGCTATTTCAGTGAATGTGGTAAATTGGGATGGGGGAGGTGCCGAGGCAGGATTGGAGGGTGGGGCTATTGTAGTGAATATGATAATAGGGGGAGGGCTGGCAAGGGGGCACAGCCCAGGTTGGGGCGTCAAGGCTGTTCCCAGTACCCCTGTCCACTCCACAGGTGCCCGCAGTTCTATGAGGAGGTGAAGGTGATGCTGCCGCCGGCACTGGGCGACAGCCACCATCTTCTCTTCTCCTTCCACCATGTGGCCTGCCAGCCCCGCCCACACACCCTGCCTGACGCCCCCGTTGGCTACACGGTAGGCCCAGACCCTACCCCCACACCCCACCCAGGGCACCCACTGGCTACATGGAAGAGGCCCCCTTAGTCCTGATGTGCCTGTTGACTGCATGACAGGCTCTACCCTGGCTCCAGGCCATGCCCCACACCCTGCCCAGTGCGCCCATCAATTACACAGTAGGCCCTGCCCCCCTAGTCCAGGCCCCACCCCCTGTTAGTCCTGCTCCCACACCCCACCTGATGTCCCCATTGGCTCTACTTTAAGCTCTGCCCCTGGCCCCAGACTCTACCCCAGGCCCCACCCAATACCAACAGGCCCTGCCCTCTATCAGCTCCACCCCCCAGTCTAGGCCCTGCCCCCTGCCAGTCCTGCCCTTATTTGGGCTGCACTGCTGGCTGCACCCCTTGCCCTCCCAGCCCCCAGCATCCCCTATGGGGTGCCCCTAAATCTAGAGTCCTACCTGGGGTTTCTGCCCCCTGGAGACACTCCCCCTGCTGTGCCCCCTGCCCTGCCCTTCCCTTCCCCTCTCACCCCAGGGGCTGTGGAAGGGTTCTGGCACTGCCCCCCCCACTCCCCATTTTGTGTCCTGTCTCCTGCAGTGGGTGCCTCTGATGCAGCATGGGCAGCTGCGCACGGGACCCCTGTGCCTGCCTGTCTCTGTGGACAAGCCTCCCCCCAGCTACTCTGTCCTCACCCCTGACGTGAGTGCGGACACCAGGAAGGGAGGGTGGGGTGCCAGGGGCTTCCTGAGCTGGGGGGGAGTTGTCTGTCTGTCCCCCACCCAGCTGGGGAAACTGAGTCAGGGGCCGGAGGGGGGGAATCCGAGATGTTGGGCAGGAGCTGGGGGGTGGTTCCCACAGGGGAGTGTGTGTGGAGGGGCAGGGGAATCTTTATAGGGAAGGGTCTGTGGGGGGCAGGGGGGAATCTTGGCAGGGGGCACAGGGGTCCTGGGGAGGGCAGAGAGGGCAAGAGGGAATCTGGAGTGGTTCTGGTGGGGCAGGGCAGGGATCTTGGGGGTGCCCTAGAGGGTCTGGGGAGGTTGAGGGAGGGGCCTGGGGCATTTTGTAGGGGGTGGCGGGGGTGTCGGGGAGTTCCTGGGCAGTAAGGGGGATGTTGGTGGGTGGACAACCACAAGGGCGTGTTCCATGTGGAGCTGCGGGCCGTCTCCTCTGTGCACACACAGGTAAGAGGGCGGGGGTGGGGGGGTGCATGTGTGTGTATGTCCATCTGTGTGAGCAAGCACAGGTGCAGTCATCTGCATGCATGTGCATGTGTGGGCATTTGTATGCCTGTGTACACATCTGTGGGTGTGTCTGTATGCATGTGTCTGGCTGCACCCATCTCTCTCCAGTCCTGGGCCTTTCCCTGCCTTGGGGGCCAGGACACCTGGATTCCCAGCCTGTTCTGTGCCCCCAAGGGACACCCATGAGGGGCTCCCCAGCCCTGACTGACACCCCCCCCCCCTCCTTCCTCCTGGCAGGACCCAGCACTGGAGCGGTTCCTGGCACTGGGGAGGGCGTTGGAGGTGGGGCCATGTGGGGGGCGGGGGGCGGCAGTGCTGGAGGCAGAGCTGCGGGCCAGTCTGGGCGGGTTGCGGGGGGCCCAGCCCCAGCCCCTCGTTGCCTTCAGCCACCAGCTGCTTGATCGGCTCCTGCGCCTCCTCGCCCGTCCTCCTCTTATCAACGGCCAGACCGGTGAGCACCCAAATCCCCGGGGGGGGTGGAGCAGAGGAGTGCTGGGAGCCTGGATGCTTGGGTTCTGTCCCAGCTCTGTGGTGAGAGGGGCTGGGAGCCTGGATGCCTGGGTTTTCTTCTGCTGGGTAGCCAAGCAGTGCCAGCCCCTCCCCTGACCTTGCTATCAGAGCCCCCCCACCCAACTCTACCCCCAGAACAGGGCACTGCCCCCATTTCCCAGGTGGGAAGACTGAGGCACAGGAGGGAGAACCCTGGTGCTCTTAACCCTGCATTGCCTGCAGTGAATGTGGGCCGGGCAGCCTTCGAGACCCTGGCCGTCTTGGCCAACCAGATTGATCGCAGCTTGGAGGGCAGCCGGGACACCCACGGCCACTGCCCCGTGCTGGCTGCCTACGTGCACTTTGCCTTCCGCCTGCCCGGGACAGAACGCGGTGAGCTCCAGGGGGTGCTGGAAGCCCGGATGCCTGGATTCTGTTCCAGTGTTGGGGGGGACTGGGGTTTGGCGGGCTAGAGCCAGGGGGAGCTGGATGCCCAGACACCTGGATTCTCTCCTAATTTGGGGAGGGAGGTCTAATGGGTTAGAGCAGGGAGCATTTGGGACCCTGGACACCTGGGTTCTCTCTAACTGGTGGAGGCTGGAGGCTTAGAGCAGGGGTGCTGGGAGCCTGGATACTTGGGTTCTCTCCGAGTTCTGAGAGGGGAGTGGGGTATAATGGGTTAGAGCAGGGTGAGGCTGGGAGCCTGGATGCCTCCCCCATCTCTGGGAGGGAAGCTGGAGCCCTCTGGGTAGTTAATGTAGGGTGTAGGGGTGGGCAGGGTTTCTCGGGGCTTCTGGGCTCTCTCCTCCCCCAGCCTTCCTGGACACCCCCAGGGTCTGATCCTTCCCTCGCTGCAGAGGCCAACGCCCCAGACCAGGACCCCCTCCATCCCCCCACTGGCCTTCCCCTATCCCGTGCCAAGAGCATCAGCTGTAGCAACCCCGACCTGGCCAGCAACCCCTGCTGCCCCGACCAGGAGGTACAGCACATCCTGGGCACCAAGGTATGGTTGGGGGAGGAGGGGGGAGGGGGGGGCGGCCTGGGCTTTGACCTGGCTCATGATGAGTGGTGGGGAAGAGGGTCTTCCCTCACCCAGCTTGGGGCTTTGGGGGGGATTGAGTCCTGCCCCCCAGCTTTGAGCACTGGGGGGCTCTGGGCAAGGGTCATGGGGGAGGCTGGGGTCCTGTCTTCCCAAAGCTCAGGGCTCTGAGGGCTCTAGGTTGGCGTCTGGTGGGGGCTCTGGAGGGAGTCTTGGGGGTGGGGGCTTGGGTGGTGAGGGGCTCTGCTCTGGAGCCTGGGGCAGTGGGATGCCTACGCCCCTGGGGGCACCAAGGCTGTGCTCCGTCGCCCCCCACCCCCTGCTGGCCCCGACCCCAAGCAGGTGCCCCCAGCCCTGATCCTACCCACCTCAGGCTTGATCCTGCCCCTTCCTCCTGGTTCTCTCCCTGTCTCCGGGCTGGTTCCTTCTAGCAGCAGATCCCAGGGAGGGAGGAGGCAGGGACCGTGTTCTCTGTCTGTCTGTCTTCTGCTTCTCGCAAGGGGTTAATTGGGGGGGTGGTGTTAATGGAGGGTCACCTCTACCCCCCTGTCCTTGGGACCCAAGGAGTTTAGGCATGGGGAGGGGTCTCTCCCTATTAACCCCGTGGCTCCTGCAACCGAGGCTGCCCCCCCACTCCTCAGTGACCCCTTTGCCCCCTGGTGACCCCCATGCCCTCATGGTGCCCCCTGTGCCTATCCAGCTGGTGCATGAGGAGCTGGCGCTGCAGTGGGTGGTGAGTGCGAGCGTTGTGCGAGAGGCTGCCCTATGCCAGGCCTGGTTCTTTTTCCAGCTCATGGTATGTGGAGACCCCCTGGCAGCCCTTTTTCCCCCCCCCCCCCCCCACCCATGCCCCTAGTGCCCCTCCAGGCTCCCCTTGCTCCAGCCACCTGCCCCAGCCCCCCCTAGGGTCCCCTGGCTCCTTGTAGTGCCCCCTGCCCCAGGTCCTTCCCAGCCCATTAATTCCTTCCTTGCTGTACCAGCCCATTACTGGGGCAATGTGGTAGGGGAAAAATGTGATCTCCTGTCAGGGTGGGGGGGACCTCATCTCTCATCCCCCAACTAGGGGAGGAGGGTTCTGATCCTGCAGGGGACCCCAGTTCCATGGGTTGGGGGAGGCACAGATCTTGCAGGGAGAGGGCCAGCTCCTGCAGATGGAAGGGGTGGGGGCCTGATCCTGTGCAAGGGGAGCGGGTAGAAGGCTCTGATACAGCAGAGAGCCCTGATCCTGAAGAGGGCTCAGATCCTGTGGGCAAGCGGGGTCCCCAGTCCTGTTGGGGAGGGGGCCTGATTCTGTGATGGGGTGGGTATGAGCCTGATCCTGCAGGGAAGGAGGGCTCCAATTCTGTGGGGGGCAGGGGCCTGATTCTGCAGAATGGAAGGTCCTGTTCCATCACAGACCCAGCTTCTCTTCCCCCCAAGACCAAGAGCCTGGCACTGCACTTGCACCGAGCCGGGCGGCTGGAGGCTCCGCGGCGCTTGCGCCTGCCCCAGCGCTTTGCTGATGATGTGGCTGCCCTGGTTTGTGCCCTCAGCACCGAGGTTGCTGCCCGCTGCCACCAGGTCCGTCTCTTCCCCGCCCCACCCATCTGTATGTCTGGTGTGTCTGTCCTTTGCCTCCTGCTTATCCTTTGCCCCCCACCTTAGTGTCTCCTCCCGGACTCTCTGTCCCTGTCTATGGGTCTGGTCTAGGCCTACATGTCTGTCTGTCTGTCTGTCTGTCTGCCCATCCCTGCCTCCATTAACTCCTTCCTACCCTCCCCGCACTCTCAAGGTTCCAGAAGTGCCTCTGCTCCCCTCCCCCCCCCATCCTGCTACCTCCCTCTGTCTGTCCTGGCCCACATGTCTGCCTGCCCCTTCCTCTTGCAGTCTTCCTCCCCACCCCCCATTACCCTTCCTGCCCAATGCTTAGAGCAGCTTCAGGAGCCCCTTTCATCTATCTGTGCTCTTCCCAGGCCCACTGGTATGCCCATGTCTGTACCTACGTACCTATCTCCCCCCCCCCCCCCAATTAACCCATTCCTTCCTTATTGGGTCCTTCCCCTTCCATCCATCTATCTGTGCCCATGCGTTTCTTCCCCTCCATTAACTCTTCCTGCCCTGTGCTTGGGTCACAGCCCCCCACAACAGCTCACCGTCCCCTTTTCTGCCTGCCCTCCCAGGACATGGAGCTGGCGGAGCGCCTCAACACCAGCCTGGGCTGCTTCCTGGCTGACCTGCTGTCACTCATGGACCGTGGCTTTGTGCTGGGCCTTGTCCGTGCCTACTATAAACAGGTCCCGTGGGGGGGCAGCAGGGGACCAGAAAGGGAGTAGAAGGTCTGCAGAGCTGGGGGAGGGGGAGCAACAGGAGTCATGGGGCTGTGGAGGGGCGCTGGGGCTGGGGATAAGGCTGGGAGAGATCCAGCCATGCGGCTGCACAAAACCCTGTGGAGAGGGGAGGGGTTTGTAGCACAGGGGGGAGTCCTGATGGGAGAGCAGGGGGGCCTGATGGAGGAAAGGGAAGTCTGTGGGGCTGGGGAGCCTATAAGGGACCCAGGTGGGGGCCTGATGGGGGCAGGGGAGGGGGGGAGTCTATGGGACCCTATAGTGGAGCAGGGATGTCTGGTGAGCATCTGTTGGGGCTGGAAAGGCCAAGCTGAGGCCTAAAGGGCTGGGGGAGTCCAGCCTGGCTTAGAGTTCTGCCCAGCTGTGGGAGGTAGGGGGGCGAGGCAGTGACCCGAACCTCCCCCCTCCCCTGCATCTCCTGGCAGGTGGGGGCACGGCTGGCAACTGCCCCGAATCCATCGGTGCTGCTGGGGCTGCGGCTGGATCTGCTGCGCATCGTCTCCAGCCACGAGCACTACGTCCCCCTCAACCTGCCCCTGGGCAGCCTCTCGCCCCCTGCCTCGCCCTCACCCTCGGTCTCCTCCCAGGTAGGCCCTGCCCATGGCTCCTCCTACCCACCACAGAGCCCAGCCCAGTTCACCACACCTGCCCTCAAGACATCCCCCACCACAGCCTCCCCCCCACATGCTACACCTGCCTACCACAAGCTCTGTTCCCTTGTGGCCCACATGCTTCATACCACCTGCCAGGCCCCACCCACAAGCCATGCCCACTGCAGCCCCTCCCATGTGCTACAGAGCCTTGCCCACCCTGTCCAAAAAGCCATACCCACCACAGCCCCTTGCACGTGCCACTGAACCATGCCCAACCTGGCCACATGCACCAGGTTCTTCCCCCTTGTAGCCCCTGTCCTCTGAATTAGGTGCCAGGCCCTGCCTGCCCTCACCCATATCACCCCTGCGCACCTTCGCCATGTGCTCTGGGCTCCACCCACTTCTTGCCTGCGTGCTCTGGGCTACCTGGTAGGCTCTGCCAATCCTCACCTGTATAAGGCATGCCCATCCAGCCCCACCCAAATGCCATGGAGCCATACCCCTGTGTCCTCCAGGCTCCACACCATCCATAAACCACACCTGCTACAGCCCCTCCCACTTGCCATGGAGCCACTCCTGCCCTAGCCATGTGCTCCAGGCTCCACCCACCCCACTCACAAAGCCTGCCCATGTGTCATGAAGCCCGGCTCACCTGACCATACTCTAGACTTCACCCCTTCACAGCCTGTGCTTCAGGCCATGTGCCAGGCTCTGCCTACCCCACAAGCCATGTCCATGCCACCAAGCTACACCCCCTCTGGCATCTATACCCCCTCTGCCATGTGCTCCATGTAGCTCCACCTACATTCACCCCCATGCTATGCCTGGCCCCCTTCCGTGTCCACATCACGCCATGCCTGTTCATGGTCCCACTCTTGCCCAGGGCTCGGCCTTTTCCAGTCAGGCACCAGAGCAGCGCTGGGCCCACATGCTGGAGTTGTCAGGGCCCTTCCGACGGCAGCACTTCCTGGTGGGGCTGCTGCTGTCCGAGCTGGCTCTGATCCTGGAAGCCGATGGGGACGAGTAAGTGGGGGAGAGACTGGGGATGCCTGGGTTCTTAGTGTGGGGGAGGAGTGTGGTACAGAGCCTGAATACCTGGATTCTCTCCCCAGCTCTGGGAGGGGAGTGAAGGCTGGTGGCTTGGAGCAGGTGGCTTGGAGACACCTGGGTTCTCTGGAAAGGCATTGGGCCTGGGGGGTTCATGGGGAGCTGGGAGCCTGGACACCTGGGTTCTTTACCCAAGCTCTGGGAGCAGCTCTGACCCCGACCCTGTGTTCCGCCAGTGCTTCGGCCCTGCAGAAGAAGGCTATAGGGGCCCTGCACAACCTGCTATGCAGCCATGAAGCTGACCCTCGCTTGGCTACGCCTGCTGCCTGTGCCCTTGTGGCCCGTCTCTACCTGCCACTCATCACCATCGTCATGGATGTGCTGCCTCAGCTGCATGATTTCAGTGGTGAGCCCAGCCCTGCCCTGCCCTGCCCATAGCCTCTGGGGAACCAATGCATCCAGGCTTCTGCTGCTGCTCCCTGTTCTCACCACTTGATCTGACCACAGGGAAGAACCCAGGTGTCCTGGTCTCCAGAGCCAGCTCCCTTAAACTGGCCAAGGGAGACCAGCAGGCAGTGGGAGAGTCCCTGTTCCCCTGAGCACTACTGCGAGTAACAAGGAATAACAGCCATAAGTTGATGGAGAGTAGATTCAGGCTAGATATCAGGAGGCGCTACTTCACAGTCAGGGCGGCTAGGATCTGGAACCAACTTCCAAGGGAAGTGCTTGCTCCTATCCTGGGGGTCTTTAAAAGGAGGCTAGATAGACACCTTGCCGGGGTTGTACGACCCCAGCATCCTTTCCTGCCATGGCAGGGGGTCGGACTTGATGATCTGCTCAGGTCCCTTCCAACCCTTCCAACTATGAAACTATGAGGACCCAGGCATCTGGGCTTCCAGCCCCCTCTGCTTTAACCCTGCCCCACCCTGTCCCTGCCCCTCCCCCTTGGGAGCTGAGAGAGAACATAGGTGTCCAGGCGTCCAGCCTCCCCTGCTCTAACCCCCCAGACCCCACTTCTCTACCTGTGCTGGGCTAGAACCCAGGTGTCCGGGCTCTTGCCTCCCTGCTCCCACTCTCACGACTAAACATGATTGTCCTCCCACATGGCAGGGAAGAACCCACTCATCTTGGTTTCCTGCCATCTCTGCTATATCCTAGCTCCCCTCCCAAACCAGGGCAGGGAAAAGAACCCAGGTATTCTGGGCTCCAGAGCTGGGATAGAGCCCAGGTGTCTGGGTTTAATGACACTCCTCTCCTGCCTCTGCAGAGACTCACAGACCGCGTGGGCGCCTGGTCCCGTCCATGCTGGGGGATGACGGTGATGGAGATGGTAGCACCATCAGCCCTTCAGTGGCGATGGCCATTGCGGGGTCGCCCTTGCCACCTGTGCCCTGCCCTTGCCCCTCCCCGGGGCCGGCAGTTGTGAGTAGCCATGGGGTGGGTTGGAAGGAGGGCCTCTTTCCTGGGACTCTGTCCCCTTCAGGCCTGGGCACAGAACCCAGCTGTCTGGGCTCCTGCTTTGATCTCCTGCACTCCACACCCTTCCAGAGCTAGGAGAGAACCCAGGCATCTGGCCACCATCCCTTTTCACCTCAGAGTAGCGATGAAACCCAGGCGTCCGAGCTGTTTAGACCCCCAGGGCCAGGGCCAGAACCCAGGCATCTGGGTTCCCAGCCCACTTCTCCTTCAGCCTCAGCCCCCTTCCCCTTCCAGAACTGGGACAGAACCCAGGAGTCCAGGCTTCTCATCCCATTAGATGCCCACTCCCATCCTGGACCTGGGAGGCCCCCTCCTACTCCAACCCCTCAGTCCCCCCCCTCCCTGGACTGAGAAAATCGAGGCATCCCAGCTACCCTTTCTCACTATACACTCACTCCCTTTCAAGGCTGGAGATACAACCCAGTTGTCCAGGCTCCCAACTCCCCCTCTCACTCAATGCCCACTCCCCTCCTAGAGCTGGGAGAAGAACCCAGGCACCAAGTGCCCCAACCCCAGTTGTCCCTCCCAGAGCCCCCCATGCCCCCATCCAGGTGCCAGGCAGGGGCAGAACAAAGCAGAGCTGCCCCCGCCCCCCCCCCCCACACGGCCCCGCCCACCCCCCCC